TTCTCATGTTACAGGCTCAGGTATTTCCAGTCAGTCTCCCATCCCCCAATGCCGACCATCCCAGCCACACTCCCCTGTCAGCACTCACAGACCACAGTAAGAACAGACCCAGTTCGTCACACGGGGAAAGCGGGGGGGGCTTAGCTGGGGGGGGTCTTAACCCCTTGTGCCCCGGCTCACTCCGCCTCTCCCCGTTCCCAGAATTCCCTGCTGGCCTGCGAGTTTCTGCTGCAGAACGGAGCCAACGTCAACCAGGCGGACAGTGCCGGGCAGGGGCCCCTGCACCACGCCACCATCCTGGGCCACACCGGGTAGGTCAGGGGGGCTGGGGCCCACCCAATAGATCAGTGGGGCTGGGGCCCACCCGGTAGGTCAGGGGGGCTTGGGCCCACCCAGCCAGGATGGGTAATTCATGGGGGCTGCTGTTCCGCACCTGGCCACTGGATGGTGCGGTGGCGCCAGCATGGACACACTGGTGGCACCCGCCACCTCTGGGGTGCCCCGGTGGCGAAGCTAAGCAGGGCTGGGGCCGTATTCCCTACCTGGATGGGGGACATTGCGCCTCCCCATCGCCCGCCTCTCACAGCTCTGCTCTCTGATAGGCTGGCCTGCCTGTTCCTCAAGCGGGGGGCCAATCTGAACGCGGTCGACATGGAGGGGAAGGACCCGCTCTCCATCGCCATAGACACGGCCAACGCTGATATCGTCACCCTGTAAGTTGCCCCCCCCCGGGTTGGGGGGGTGGGGGTGGGCGATGCTGATGGAGGGGGAGGGGTGAAGCAGGGAGATGGGGGAGGGGAACTTGTCTCATTTTCTGCCCCTCCCACCTCCCTGCAGGCTGCGGCTGGCCAAGATGCGGGAGGCGGAGGTCGCGCAGGGACAGTCAGGTGGGTGTCTTGTCTTTGGGGCCCAGGGCTGGGCTAGCAGGGGCTGCAAGTCAGGAGTGAGGTGCACCGGCAGAGCTGGAGGGGCAGGGCCGGGCTAGCAGGGGGCTGTGGGGTGGGACTGGGGGGCATTGGCAGAGCTGGGAGGGCAGGCCTGGGCTAGCAGGGGGCTGTGGGGCGGGACTGGGGGGCACCGGCAGAGCTGGGGGGGCAGGGCTGGGCTGGTAAGGGGCTGTGGGTTGGGAGTGAGGGGCATCGGCAGGGCTGGGGGGGCAGGGGGCTGTGGGGCGGGACTGGGGGGCACCAGCAGAGCTGGGGGGGCAGGGCTGGGCTGGTAGGGGGCTGTGGGTCGGGAGTGAGGGGCACTGGCAGGGCTGTGGGGCGGGACTGGGGAGCACCTTGCCCTACTCCTACGCCCTTTGCCCTCCCAGGCGACGAGACCTACCTTGACATCTTTCGGGACTTCTCCCTGATGGCGTCCGACAACCCCGAGAAGTTGACCCGCCGAGACCTGAAACTCACCACCCTCTAGCGCCCCCCCCCCGGGGCGGCGCCACCGAGCCACCATCCCCTTGTGTGTATGTGCGGGGGGGATCCCCTCCCCCACCCCAGCTCCTCCCCGTTCCCCGGCTGGGAGGGGCAGCGAAGCAGCAGGGACTTCTCCCCCCCCCCCCCCCCCCCCCCCCCCGCCCCCCCCCCCCTTTCTTAATGACCATAATCCCCCCGTTCTTCTGCTGCTTTGATGTGACTCTTGGGTGGGGGGCAATAGGGGATAGGGGCCAATCTCCCATTGCCCCTCTTCTGCCCCCCATCACAGGCCCCCAGATCGCCCCCTCATTATAAGGCAGGGGCTTATCCCTGCCCCCACCTCCATTATGGGGAGGGGCTTCTTCCTGGCCCCCCTTCTGGCCCCCAGATTCCCCCCCCCCCTGTTTATAGGGCTAATCCCATATCCCCACCCGTCCTATTTATTGTTTCTATGGGACCATCCTCCCTGTTTGTTGTTTTAACCCCCCATGTACACGCACATGGCCCCCCTCCTCCGGTTGAGGCATGGTGGGGGGACCCCGTCTTTGAATGGAGGGGAAGGGGGAGCAGCGGGAGATCTGGGCATCTGTACAAAGCTGGCATGCAATAAACAGACCAGGCTGCAATATCAACTCCTGCTTCCACCTCTGGGGCGGGGCGGCTGGTGACACAGGGACCCCTCGCCCGGTGCTGAGATGCGGCCACCTCTGGGGTGGGGCAGCAGTTTACACAGGGATGCGGTAGCCACAGCAGTGCTAGATTCGTCGCCTGTTTCTCCATCTGCCCACCAGGTGGCAGCGTTGACCCTAGTGGCTGGAGGGGGCAGCGTCTCACCCACCCCACTGCTCCAACCCACCAGTCTCCACTCCCCTCCTAGAGCCGGGGAGAGAACCCAGGAGTCCTGGCTCCCAGCCCCCCCGCTCTAACCCACCAGCCCCCACTCCCCTCCCAGAGCCGGGGAGAGAACCCAGGAGTCCTGGCTCCCAGCCCCCCCGCTCTAACCCACCAGCCCCCACTCCCCTCCCAGAACTGGGGAGAGAACCCAGGAGTTCCGGCTCCCAGCCCCCCTGCCCTAACCACCAGCCCCTGCTCCCCTCCCAGAACTGGGGAGAGAACCCAGGAGTCCTGACTCCTCCCCGCCCCGCACTCTCCTTCCTTGAAAAGCTATTTTTTGTCCAGCTCTGTGATCAACTTTAGCCCTGTGATCAACATCTCCGTAGCCTCTTTCAGCCGCGCACCCCGAAACCGCATGCGGTATTCTAGCCTCCCTCCTCTCCGCCTCCCTGTCTCTACCGTCCAAGGGTCACGTCCGCCCGGCGTGCCCGTGGGCCGGGGGCCCGGAGATAAGGGCGGGTGGCGTTGGGTGGGTGCGGATAAGAAATAGAGCTGAAGCTTCGAAAGGGCCTCTGGGGTCAGCCACAGGCTCAGCTGCGGGGTGAACCTGGTGCCTACCCTGCGTTTAACACTGAGAGCGTCATTTGCCGGCAGGCTGCACGTGCTGTGTTTTTTCAGGAGGGTCCACACACACTCAGCTGGAGGAAGAGCGGACCTGAGGTGTAAAAATGGCGTAACCCTCTCAGAAGGGACTGGAGCGACTCTGGATTTAAACTACTGACTGAACTGGAGTCACTCTGGATTTACACCGTTGAGTGAATTGGAGTGGCTCGGGATTCACACTGAGCTCAGTATCTGGCCGTTTTTGCACTGCAGCGACTCTGGATTTACACCGGTGGAAGTGAGATCAAAGTCTGGTCCTTATAGCTTTTATTGATCTGGAGTGACTCTGGATTTACACCATTGACTGAACTGGAATGACTATGGATTTACACCAGTAGAACTGAGATGCAAATCTGCCCCTTACACTGAACTCTGGATTTACGCTAGCATCGCTGAGCTCAGAGTCTGGTCCTTATACCATTGACTGAATTGGAGCCACTCTGGATTTACACCATTAACTGAACTGGAGTTACTCTGGATTTACACCACTGGAACTGAGCTCAGTATCTAGCCTGCTGTGATTACCCTCCTCCCCCATTTCCAATGTCACTTCATCTCACTCCTCTCTAGGACGTTATTGTCCTGATTTAAGGGTGGACAGTTCTCCTGGGACGTTCCCAGAGCTCCGCGCCCGCGGTTCCCATGTCGTCTCTGTCTTGTTGGATGGAAAGCAACTGCTGTTTTCCATTCTCAACAGGCAGATGAGGTTCTCCCGTCACAGAGGTGGTCTCCATTCTGGTGGGTTAAATTCCCAGCATCCTCTGGGTCACCTGACTGGGGGGAGAAGCAGTGGAACAGGAGCAAAAGTTTGGCACCGTAAAGAGAACCAGGCCTTCTGCCATGAGGAAAGTCCCAGATGCAATGAAAGAGCCTGTGTAGCTGCCGGTCACATCCCTTAGGAAACCTAGAACTCAAAAGAACATGAATTATACCAATAGTAGGGGTACCTAGAACCCAGCATGCATCATTTTGTGATACCTACAATATATTGAGTTGGAGTGGACTATAATTTAGATCAGGGATTGGCAACCTTTGGCACGCGGCCCATCAGGGAAATCCGCTGGCAGGCCAGGCCGCTTTGTTTACCTGCCGCGTCCGCAGGTTTGGCCGATCGCAGCTCCCACTGGCTGCGGTTCGCCGTTCCAGGCCAATGGGGGCTGCGTGAAGCAGTGTGGGCTGAAGGATGTGCTGGCCGCTGCTTCCCACAGCCCCCATTGGCCTGGAACGGTGAACCGCGGCCAATGAGAGCTGTGCTTAGCCGAACCTGTGGACGCTGCAGGTAAACAAACCGTCCCGGCCCACCAGGGGCTTTCCCTGTCGGGCCATGTGCCAAAGGTTGCCAATCCCTGGTTTATATGGTATGATGCATCTAGAACACACCATGTTATGCTATTCTAGAACCCAGCATGAATATTTGTGTTACCTAGAACGTACTGAGTCTGAATATACTATATCTTATGTGATTATGATGCATCTAGAACACAGCATGTTAAGCCTACCTAGAACCCAGAAAGCATATTTGTGCTACCTAGGACATATTAAGCTGGAGTTGACTATAGCTCATTCGGTTGGCGCTGCCTAGGATTCAGCTAGTTATGGCTACCCAGAACCCAGCATGCAGCCAATGGTAGGTATCTAAAATGCAGCAAGATTGGAATTGCGTCTAAACTCCCATGGGTAAAGTCTGCCAGAACAGTGGAGGCTATGGGCTATTCACAACCCAGCAAGGTTGTGATTTCTAGAACATAGGCTGGAGTAGTCACCAAGAGAGTTTGAGGCTGGAGTTATGTGCAGGTTATAGGTTTAGGGCTCCATGGAAAACACAAGTCTACCTAGAATGCAGAGCTGATAGTGTTCCCGTTGCCTAGAAAGCTGGATTCAGGAGATGCCCATGACCCACAGGATTAGAGCTACCTAGAACCTAGGGAATATAGTGTTCCAACTATCCAGAAAGCCAAGTACTGGAGTTGTCCTTAACCAATATGGTTAGAGCTATCTGAATCCAGGGCTTCTAGTGTTCAAATAATCTAGACAGCTGGGATGTGAAGTCAAGTCTAGCACATGGGGTTAGAGCTACCTAGAACCTAAGCATGTAACATTCCAGTTCACTCAGAAAGCCAGGTTCTAGAGCTGCCTACAGCGCATAGGGCTAGCACTACCTAGAATATACAAATTTAGGGGTCTGTGAATGACAAAACATGGCCCCAACGGTGACCCCAAAGGTTAGAGAGTGGGTGAAATGGTACCCAGACTGAAGAGATCACCTACAACCCGGTTCCCTCTTGTGTGGCACCAGAACATCCCTGACCACTTCACACTAGCTGATCCATGACTGTGGAATGAGGAGTCACGGGATGGGAGGTGCCTGCTGCTTAAAGTAGGGGAAGAAAGGCAAACTTCAAGACCTTACCAGACAACGGGGGGCCAGCCAGAGCCCCAAAACTCTCCAGTAGGTTTACAAGCCCAGTAGCTTCTACGATCCGACCAGTCCCCACGATTTCCACAAGGCTGGAGAATTTCAGTGGGATAACGGCACTGGCTAAGAACCCATAGCAGATGTCAGTGCCCATCAGGATGGGGTAGGTGTGCCCAAAGGGAACCAGGAGCAGCATGACGCCCGTCAGGAGGGTCCAGAGAGTCAGGCTGTGAAGGAGGCAGAAGACCCTGCGGGCATCCAGCCAGCCAGCCACCAGGCGGCCACACAGATCGGTGGCACCCATCACGGACACGAGGCTGGCAGCCTGGTATTCGTCAAAGCCCATCTCGTGGGCGTGGGGCACTAGGTGGGCAAAGGGGACAAGATGGCCCAAATTCATCAACAGGCTGGCCACGGCAAAGCTCAGGAAAGGCCGACTGGAGAGCAAAGCCAAGCCCAACAGAGAGGACAGCTTCACCAGCCATGACCTCTGTGGGGCTTGCGCCAGAGCCAAGTCCTCTGCCAGGGCCAGTGGGTGGAGGAGGGCGCCACATGCCACGAGGTGGAAGGTCATGCCCGCCACGATCATGAGCCCTCCGCGCCAGCCATAGGAGTCCACCAGGAACTGGAAGAGGGGGGTGAAGGCCAGTGAGGACAGCCCGGGTCCAGAGAAGGCCACAGCGGTCGTTTGAAGTAACGGGCAAGCATGGCCACTGAAGGGGCAAAGACTAGCGCGCCCCGAAGCCTGCAAGAGAGGTGGGGAACTGGGGTTATGGGGGTTGGATAGGTGGAGTCAGGAGAATGTGTTACCTAGAATGGTTTGAGTCGGAGTTGACTACAGCTTGTATGGATTCATCTAGAATGCACCATGCTGAGCCAACCTAGAACCCAGCACAAATCCTGTTTGTGCTACCTAGAACGTATCGAGCTGGAGTAGACTACTGCTTACAGAGCTAGGATGCATCTAAAACACCCTGTGTTAAGACAAACTTAGAACTAGGCATGAATCTTGTCTGTCCTACCTAGAACATATGGAATTGGAGTCAACTACAGCTTGTACAGCTGTCACGCATCTGGAATGGCCCATGTTGAGCCAACCTAGAACCTATCATGAATCCTGTTTGTGTTACCTGTAACTTATTGAGCTGGAGTAGATTACAGCTTATAGGCCTGGGACACATGTAGAACGTACCATGCTATGCCAACCTAGAACCCACCGTGAATCCTGTTTGTGCTACCTAGAACGTCTGGAGCTGGAGTAGACTACAGCTTAGAGGGCTAGGATGCATCTGGAGCACACTGTGTTAAGCAAACCTACAACTAGGCATGACTCCTGCCTGTGCTACCTAGAACATATTGAATTGGAGTAGACTACAGTTTATACAGCTATCATGCATCTGGAATGGCCCATGTTAAGCCAACCTAGACCCCATCGTGAATGCTGTTTGTGCTACCTAGAACATACTGGAGCTGCGAAAATGCAGCTTGAATTACACCAAAATGGTTGGTGGATCCGTGTCGATATCGCTCTGTGTGTGTGTGTGTGTCATGAAAAACTTCCCCAAAAGTTAGAACATTCTCATTGTGTCAGGTCCAAATTTCCTTCAACTCTCTTTCCAAACGTGCTCGAAATCAGAACATGCTAAACTGAGATTGGTTCAGACTTTTTGATGCACTGCAAACTTCGACAAATGTCAATTTTGACCTAAAATGCACAGCCCTCCTTCCCCCCACATTGCCCGCACACCAAAAACCCTGTGTCCTCCCCTGCGTTATCCAAACACCAAAGGCTACTGGGGAGGAGGGAGTGGAGCAGAGATTTCACAGCTCGACGGGTGGGCTCGGCCCTTTGTTATAGCGACGGCTGGAGCCTCAAAGCTCTAGATCCTATTACGTTGGGATTGGGACCAGGGTTGGCTGATCTAGAACCAGGTTTGCTGTTCTAGAACCTGGTTCTCCAGATCCTTCATTATAGAAGGTTCTAAGCTACAGCCAAGGGCCAGTGAATCCTCACCGCCTGAGCCCAGAGCATCCTTCTGTCCAGGTTTTACCCAGAATGCCTTGCTTCCAGGAAGAGGCCTGTGCAATGGGCTAGATTCCCATGGTGCACTGGGTTACCCAGAAGCCTTTGCTCCCAGTCTTGAGTGAGGATGCTCCCAGAGGGCACTGAGGCAGGGGAGGGGCTCAGGGCAGGACCTACCTGAGAGCAGCCCGATGCTCAGGTACAGGTGGGTCAGGCTGGTGGCGAAGGAAGCCAGGAACATGCCCAGCCCCGAGAGGAAGCCCCCGGCCATCACCACGGGGCGCGCACCGTACTGGGTGCTGAGGGCAGTGCCCACTGGACCTGCAGGGGGCAGCAGAGGGACACCGGTCGGGCCCCGTTACCCTGCGATGCAGCCGAGTCTGGGGGAGGAGTGGAGGTATGTGGCACTCAGAGCACCCTCCTGTCCTGGAGGATGGTGCAGAAAGTGGGGTTGGGAGAATCCCAGTTAAAAACAGCTGCCCCGCCCCAGAGGTGGCCGCATCTCAGCACCGGGAGAGGGGTCCCTGAATAACCAGCCACCCCACCGGGGGAGGGATGAGATGCTCTGGCTAAAGGGGGTAGGGAGAAGGCCGGAGAGTCGATACTCACTAGCAAACAGCAGGATGGCTATTGTGATAGAAGTGACCCAGGACACGCACCCCACCAGCTCCCCGAAGTGCCCCACAAACTCCACGAAGAAGACCCCAAAGGAGCGGATCACCCCAAAAATCAGCCCCGACTCCAAGAAGACTGCCAGTGCCACCAGCCAGCCCCAGCCCCCATCGGGGGGCTCCGGGAGAATGGGGGGCTCCATGAAGATTCAGCGCTGCACGCCGGAGGTGAGTATGGCATAATCAGCTGCCTCGCTCCTCCCCAGAGGGGGTAGCCCCTTGATGCTGGGTGAGCGATCTCTGTGCAGCCTGGCCATGTGGCTGGTTAATGTGCTCCACCCCAGAGGTGATGGCCGCTGAATCCGCGATGAACGATTCCCGAGCAACGCAGCAGGGGGGGTGGAGCCATGAATCAGCAGCCATGCCCTACGCCAGAGATGGCTGCATCCCAGTGCTGGGTGACCGAGCGCCCTGCAGAATGACCCTGTGGCTGTTAACCTCAGGGTGGGGGGGGGGCGGGCGCACAGCAGCCCCCTCGACCCTCTCCCAGCTCCGGGGACCCGGCAAGCAGCAGCAGGGTGCCTGGCGTCAGACGGGAACCCGGGTCTCAAAGGTTGGGCGTTCTTATCAGTGAATTGTGAGGCAAAGTCCGCAGCTGAGAGGAGGCGTCTAATGGCAGCCCCACCCTTCCCCCCACCCCCTTGCCCAGTGCTGAAATGCAGCCACCTCTGGGGCGAGGCAGCACCGGGTGAGGGGTCCCTGTGTAACCAGCTGCCCCGCCCCAGAGGTGGCCGCATCTCAGCGCCGGGCGAGGGGTCCCCGGGTAACCAGCCACCCGCCCCAGAGGTGGCTGAATCTCAGCGCCGGGCGAGGGGTCCCTGTGTAACCAGCTGCCCCGCCCCAGAGGTGGCTGCATCTCACCGCCGTGTGAGGGGTTCCTTTGTAACTAGCCGCCGCGCGCCAGAGGTGGCCACATCTCAGTGCCAGGCAAGGGTCTACCCCATCTCTCTGGCGTCACTGGAAGGCTGCGGCCAGTTCTGCGACACAGTTTCACGTGTCATGAAAGCCCCTCGGAAAAGAGCTACAGGCTACAGGCACAACTTGCGGGCCAGGGTGGGGGTGGGGGTTGGAACCACCCAATCCCAATGGCCTGGGGGATCAGCCATTCTGGGTGTGCAGTTCCAGGGGAAGGCATCTGAGCTAGTCAAGGCATTACATTTCTGCCATCAACAACCGGTTGTTTGAGCTAGAGACCATCCCAGAGCTGTGGGGGTCTGCACTACAGAGCTGGCCGAGTCGCCGTGCATCCCTCTTCCCCTCTTTCTTTGTTTTCCAATCTCCCGCTAAATCAACAGGGTTCTAGCTACTCATGCCTCAAATGTGCCCTGAAAGTTTGGAACCGATTGGCCGGGGCGTCCGGTCGCAATCGCGTTACGCGCAGACAGACGGAGAAACGCGGTCAAGGGGAGGAGACAACCTTCACTAGCTGGGCCAATCAAGTGCAAATTTTTCATGTGGAGGGCAATTAACCAGCGGGGCCAATTTCCCCTAGAGTGGTGGCGTCTTCTCCGTCACGCGTGTCCTTTTAAGTCAAGACCGAAAGCTACCCGCTAGCTCGACCACCAGATATGGGCTGGAGTTCTCTGGGCCATGCAGAAGGTCAGACTAGGGGACCATTGGGGTCCTTTGTAGCCTGAAAGATCTAGGATGCTCTGGACACCAGCTTGCAAAGAGGAGTGGATCTAGACTGGGTAGCTCCCTCCTTCCGTCTCTTATGCATCCTCCAACCGTCTTACGATGGTCAGCGAAGAAGCAGACACCTATCAGCTGGATCCGTATACTTGATGCTCTGCCCCCTGCTGACCTCTCACTTCCAATCTGGCTCTCTGGGACAACCCCCCCAGGAGCTAAAGTCTCAGGGGTCCCCCATGGTCTCCTCTTCAGTTGTCGAGTCCATGGGACAGGAGAAATAATTTGGCAGGGCAAGAAGGAGCAAACTTCCAGCAAGGAGGAAAGCCCCTGCTACAATGAAAGAGGCTGTGTAGTCCCCAGTCATGTCCCGCAGCCAACCTAGAACATACAATGCGTTGGGTTACCAAGAGCATACTGCATGTGTCACCTAGAACCCAAAGTATCTAATTATTTAGACATCCTAGAACATACAATTATTTGCATGATCTTAGAATGCACTACATGTTACCTGGAACCCATAATATCTAATTCTCTAGACATCCCAGAATATATGTGGCTTTGAGTTATCTAGCGCGCACAATATGCATTTCCTAGAACCCCAAATGTCTCATTGCCTAGACATCCTGCACGAATTATCTAGGAATTACTGTAGTGTCACCTAAATCACAGAACACCTTGCTGTCTAGACAGACTAGAAGGTATGAAGTGATGGTTTACCTAGAAAGTACTGGAAGGGCTACCTAGAACCCCAAAACCTGATGGTTTGGACAGCCCAGAACATATCTGCTTGACAGTCTCACGGGACTATGCAGACCACAGTCATGGATTATCTCAAACACATTTTCAGTGATACTTAGACTTCAGAACACCATATTCTGTATATATCCTGCTGTTGTCTCTTGTTTTATACTTAGATGGTAAGGGCTTTGGGGAAGGGACCATCTTTGGATTCTACTTTGGATACTGCACCTAGCACAATCGAGTTCCAGTCCATGACAAGGGCTCCTATGTCTACAGTAATCAAAACAATCACTAATAATGTTCTAGCTACCTGGCCTACATCAGGCATTAGCCTACATGATTTCAGGCTAGATAGGCCCACACAGTTTTATTGGCCAACTAGAACCCATACTTAGAACCCAGAATGCCACAATTTAGTTTTCAGGATTGGAGTCATCTTTAGATCATATGATTAGGGCTTTTCAGAGTTGTTAGAGCTACCTAGAACCCAGTATGCCACAGCCTAGCTCCCCGGATTGGTACCCCCTTTCAACCATATTCCTAGGGCTATTTAGACAATGGGAGGTTTGGGGAGACCTAGAACATGTTGTTCAACTAGAACCCAGGTCTTCCAAGTCACAGGCCAGGACCTTGTTTTGGGGGAAGGTTTAATTCCGGGGGTTACCTGTAATTAATGGGTCACCTTCCTTCTTGTTTCCCTCCCTCCCCACAGCCCTCTCTATGAAGCTAGATTGATGAATTCATGCAAGAAAGGCTTAGAACTCGTGGGAGGGGATGTCCACCCCGCACAAGACTGGACGGGGTGACGGTGGCCAAGTAGGGACTCTAGAGGGTAGTCCATAGTTGCTCCCTGGGAGGAGGGAATTGGGAGGCTGGCGAACCCAGAGACGGGGGAGAGGGGGAAGCCAGGACATAGGGCAGTGACTGGAGAGCCTGTGAGCTGGAACTTGGAGTAGAGGGCAGGCCCGGGTTCCCCTACCAGCCCCTGGGGATGTGGCAGAGACCCGGCAAAGGACAGTGGGCTGCCTGGGACCACTTGTCAGGAAAGACCTTTCTCTGACTCCTTCCTCAATTTCTCCTAGTAGCAACCGTCCCAAATACGGGATCCAAAAGGGACGGGGGAGCATGGTAGGAAAGAGAACCTGGTTCCTTACCAGACAGAGGGGCCCCCACGAGGGAGCCAGCACTTTCCATCATTTGCATGAGCCCAATCCCCTCCATGATGCACCCCGTTCCCACGATCTCCGCCATGCTGGAGAACTGGAGGGGCACCAGGGCACCGGCGCAGAAGCCATAGCAGATGCAGAGGCCCATCAGGAGGGGGTAGCTCTGCCCCAGCGGCAGCAGCACCATGGAGAGGCCCGTCAGGACGGTCCAGAGGGTCAGGCTGTGGACCAGGCGGACGGCAAAGCGGTCGGCCAGCCAGCCGCCCGCCACGCGGCCGCACAGGTCGGCCACGGCGGCCGAGGACAGGAGGAAGGCGGCTCGGTATTCGTCGAAGCCCAGCTCCCGGGCGTGGGGCACCAGGTGGACGTAGGGTACGTAGTAGCCGGCGTCCACCAGGACGAAGGCTGCAGCGAACAGGAGGAAGGGCCTGTGGCAGGCCAGGCTTGGCTGGCAGAGGGAGGAGAAGGCTGGCAGCCACAGCCACCCCGCCTCCGGCGCGGACGCCTTGTTACCCTCTGGCTCCAACGGCCGCAGCAGGGCCCCGGCGGCCACCAGGTTGAAGGAGATGCTGGCCACCACCAGGAGGGCTCCCCGCCACGCGTAGGTGTCCACCAGCAGCTGGAAGAGTGGGGAGAAGGCGAAGGAGGCCAGGCCCGCCCCTGAGACAGCCAGGCCCGTGGCGAAGGTCCGCCGCTTGGCGAAGTACCGGGCCACAGAAGCCACGGAAGGGGTGAAAACCAAGGCCCAGCCCAGCCCTGCAGGGGGGGGAGGGGGAAGGAAAGGGAACAGGTGACCAAAACCAGGAAGGGTGGGTCTGATCTGGGGGTGGGGCAGGTGGGACACCGGGATGAATGGAGCATTCTAGATAATGCAAAGCATTGCATGTTCTAGGATGTCTAAACAATTAGATACTCTGGGGTCTAGGTGACACATGTTATATGTTCTCGATAATCCAAAGCATTGTATGTTCTAGGTTGGCTGCGGGACATGACTGGGGAGAAAGAGCCATTGTCTAGGGGGGGGGTCTAGCCCTTTAGCCTCTGGGGTGGGGGTGGGAGGGTCATTAGCAATTGGAGACACATCATCTCAAGCCGTGCTGGCAGGGTCTGGGATGAGGGGAGAACTCCTGGTGAGGCCTGCGAGTGGGGGGATCTAGGTGTCAGCTGCCACAATCTGGGTTCTAGATCATTGCTCTGTCCTCTCTCCAGCTCACCCGAGCTGGGGCAGAACTGGGTGAAATGGACTGACCTGAGCTAGGCAGGAAATTGGGCTAGCGATGATCTAGGCCACACTCGTGAGCATGGAGATCTGGGCTAGAGCAACTATGGATGAGCCAGAGCAGAGGGTTCTAGATCTCGGAAGGGGCAGCAGAGTCCGGGCCATGAGCACCACACGGCTCAAGAACCACGGCCCTGGGAGGTGTGAGTGTGTGGGGGTTTCTCCATGGCTTAGCGTGCCATGGTCTAGCTCAACCATCAGATATGGTCTGGAAGGAGGATTAGGCAGGAGGGATGGTGCAGGAGGCCAGACTGGATGGTCACCTCCTGGTCTTAATGTCTAGGACCCGTCTGGGAGGAGGAATGGCTGGAGAACCCGAAAAGAGACACACACACACACCCAGGAACCCCTCTGGGCAACTATAACTAGACCATGGTGCACTGGGTTACCCAGAAGCCCTTGCTCCCAACCTTGAGTGAGGATACTCCCAGAGGGCACTGAGGCAGGGGAGGGGCTCAGGGCAGGACCTACCTGAGAGCAGCCCGATGCTCAGGTACAGGTGGGTCAGGCTGGTGGCGAAGGAAGCCAGGAGCATGCCCAGCCCCGAGAGGACACCCCCGGCCATCACCACGGGGCGGGCGCCGTACTGGGTGCTGAGGGCGCTGCTCACTGGACCTGCAGGGGGCGGCAGAGAGACACCAGGCTGGCCCTCGTTACCCTGTGATGCAGCCGAGTCTGGGGGAGGAGTGGGCTTGGGGGGGGGGGCTTGCGGCCTCCCCCAGCAGGGGGCGCTTTGGGGAGCGGTGGGTGGGGGAGGGGGTCTCCCAGCTACTCCACTTCTGGGCCTGAGATCGTAGCCCCCTTCCCCACCCCCCGGTGTCCCTCACTCACCCCCTAGCTGCAGCACCGCGATCCCGATGGAGGTGACCCAGGAGACACGTCCCGCCAGCTCCCCGAAGTACCCCACAAACTCCATGAAGAAGACGCCGAAGGAGCGGATCACCCCGAAAACCAGTGCTGACTGGAGGAAGCCGGCCAGCACCACCATCCAGCCCCAGCCCCCATCGGGGGGCTCAGGGCGCGTGGGGTCTGCCATGGGGTCCCCCGTCGCTGTTCCCTGGAGATGGGAGATCAGAAGTCGGGGGGAGGGGTGGAAAAACAAACCAGCTGAAGGGAAAGAGACAAGGGTCAGTCCATGAACTTTTATGCTGCGGGTTCTCTGGAGATCTAGTCCTCGATTCCTGAGATGCAGCTGGGGAAACTGAGGCACAGGGAGACAAAGGCTCCTGACAGCAACTCACTAGCACAGCTGATAACACAATGCAGGAGTCCTGGCTTCCAGCCCCCTACCCTGCCCTACTACACCCCCTTCTCCTCGCTGGGTGAGAACCCAGGAGTCCTGGCTCCCAGCGCCCCCCCCTGCTCTCACCATTACATCCCACTCCTGGAGTCCTGCCTCCCAGCCCCCCCGCTCTAAGCCACCAGCCCCCACTCCCCTCCCAGAGCTGGGGAGAGAACCCAGGAGTCCTGGCTCCCAGCCCCCCCGCTCTAACCCACCAGGCCCCAGTCCCCTCCCAGAGCCGGGGAAAGAACCCAGGAGTCCTGGCTCCCAGCCCCCCCCAATCTAACCCACCAGCCCCCACTCCCCTCCCAGAGCCGGAGAGACAACCCAGGAGTCCTGGCTCCCAGCCCCCGCCCCAACCCACCAGCTCCCACTCCCCTCCCAGCACCGGGGAGACAACCCAAGAGTCCTGGCTCCCAGCCCCCCCCCCAACCCACCAGCCCCCACTTGCCTCCAAGAGCCGGGGAGAGAACCCAGGAGTCCTGGCTCCCAGCTACCTCTGGGTCTGTGCTGAGCTCTGGGAGTCCCGGGACAGGCTGGGGGCCGGGGGCTGCAGGCCGTGTCCGAGGGGGGTGGGGGGACTCAGATCACACGGCAAGTGGGGGGGGCAAAGTCCACTTTGTGTCCTCAAGAATTCCCTCCCCCATCGCCAGCCAGGCCACCGGCTCCTTCCCCCTCCCACTTCGCTGTAAGGCAGCGGTTCTCAAAAGGTGGGTCGGGACCCCCATTTGAATGGGGTCGCCGGAGCTGGCTGAGAGTTGCTGGGACCCTGGGGCTGAGGCCTGAGCCCCACCGCCCGGGGCCAAAGCCCTAGGGCTTCTGCTTTGTTCCCCCTGCCCGGGGTTAGAGTGGGGGGGGGCTGGGAGCCAGGACTCCTGGGTTCTCTC